CCATGGTAAGCCCAGCAGCTGTCCCCAGGACAAGGTAAAAATGCTTTCTCCCGAGATTTCTTCTGTCCCCACTTTGGCACTGTCTACATTTTGGTCCCGTCAGCTTCCAGAAGAGAAAGAATACTACTCCTGAAGAAGAGAACAAAGGAAAAATAAACTAGCCATAGCTGTTTCTCTGGCAACAGTAGTTATTTGCAGCAGTCAGATTGTTATGGATTACCATGACTACCATGATGGGGGGCAGGGACCAGATCTGCACCAACTGATGAGATTCCAACAAACGGAAACAATTGGAATGCAACCACAGGGCGACAGAGCAGCAAAAGATATATTGATATGTGAACGTTGGATTTTTATGTAGGTGAGCTCCCAAGGGCATGGACTGTGCCTTAAATCATTCATCTTTATATCCCTAGAGTCTGGCACATAGTAAAGATGTGCAACAGATGTTCAACTAAATATATGATGCGATTGTCTTTTAGTTGTTGTTTTCTTCCCATAAAATGCATCTTCCTAATTTAGCTTTGCATTAAGTCACTTAGAAATCTTCAATGGCTTGCGGATGTATGTGGATCCCTTGCTACATAGTAGGTACTTAATAAATATTAGTTCAGGTTGGCCCATCAAACATCTACAATGTAGATATCTACATTTCCTGCTTCATCTCCTATTCCTTTCATCTGAGGATTTTCTTTATTTTATCTTAAAAGTTCATATGGGTATTTGTGCTTTTGTCTTTTGCTAAACTTTTTATGGAAAATGTTTAATGTATGCAAAAACATACATATTAGTATAATGCTCTCTCATGCAACAATTCCTTGGCCAGAGGTGTTTTAAAGTTCTCTGAGTGTCTATAGTGGATCTCTCTCCAAATATTTATCCCCTGCCCTTTTAACTCATGTTTGTTGCCCTGCTGGCCCCTGAATATAGGTCCACGACCCGCTATACTCCTGCCACAGTGGTCTTCTTGCCTCCTTCCCACCAAATATTTTTCTTACCTCCAAGATTTTGCTCATGCTATAACCTCTGCTTGATGCTCTTTC